CTGCGGTACGCGGGCCTCTCACTGTTGTGGCCTCTCCCGTTGCGGGGCACAGGCTCCAGATGCGCAGGCTCAGCGGCCATGGCTCACGGGCCCAGCCGCTCCACGGCGTGTGGGACCTTCCCGGACCGGGGCACGAACCCATGTCCCCTGCATCGGCAGGCGGACTCAACCACTGCGCCACCAGGGAAGCCCCCTCAGCCCTCTTTGACTCTCATTTTTTCTTATTTCTCACCGTCCTTGAATACTAATAACATTCTTCTCATTTCAAGTTATTCTTATCTTCATTTCTTTTCTTCTTGTATGTGTTTGCATCTTGTTCAAACATTTTTCTACCTGAAGGTAAAGTAAAAGGCTCTCGCTAACCACAGACCTGGGTGGAGGAGAAGCCCCCCTGGGAGTTCTGCTGCTTTGAGATCCACTTCACGATGAGCGTGGCAGGGGTTAGGTCCTCCGAGGTCAGGGCAGGCTGGGCAGTGAGGTAAGCGAGGAGCACATAGGCTGTCATCTCCACTTCAGCAGAGGGAGCCCGGGGTTGGTACAAATGCTCCACTCGTGTCTTGGGTTTCTGAGGTCGTGTCCAGTGGACAGAATTATCTGGAGGTGAGAAAAAGATTTGCAAGTGACCACACGTTCATATTTAACTTCAGGTAAAAGGACAAGGGCCAGTGCTGAAGTGCGGGTTGCCTTCCAGTGATAATCTCTTAAATCTTATCTGGCGACTTCCTGCCTACAGACAGCTGAACGAGGCTTGTTTCATCTGGGCTAAGGAGTCAGAAGCTGTGCCATCTAGATTTTCAAATGGTTGCGGTGGTTGCGTTGGTGGAAGAGAGAAATGGCAGAGCAAGTTCTCTGGTTGTGGTAATTTCCAACATCTGATGTTATCCAGACCCTATCTAGGGCTTGTTCAACTTTCTGTAAAACCTGTCCTCAGAGGTTTCTTATGAGGATCACAGATCACATGAGATAATGGAGTGTACACTCATTAGATTAAAAAAAAGTAGAGTAATCCTTAAAATAGCACAGGCTGACAGGGTGTGAAATAACGGGGACGGATTTACACTGCTGTGGGAAGAAAACAGCTCTTTGGAGAGTAATCTGATGATACCCAGCAAAGGGGAAGATGTGTTGAGCCCGCTAATGAGCAGTTACGCTTTCTAAGTACACGTGAGAGAAACTCACACACCGCCTCAAGGAGATGGGTATATGAGTATTCATTGCAGCATGGTTTGCAATAGAAGTAAATAAGAAACAAGAAAAGGTCCATGAGGAGAGACTCTCTAAATAAATTATGGCCTTTTTAATATATTGTAATGTATCATGCAGCAGTGAAAATGAACATACCCATACAGGAGACTCCTATCAGCCTGCCTAATGTTGAACTTAAAAAGCAGAAGGCAGACAGACAGACAAGGATCAAGCAGAAATACTCAGAAGGATGATACTTCTTATCTAAAGAGGAAAAATGTAAACATTCTGAATATTATTTAGGGATACATATGCAGTAAAAAGATAAATCCATGGAGTTTGTAATGACAAATTCAGGATAACAATTACTTTTGCAGGTAGGAATGGTACACAAGGGATTTTTCCAGCATTGGTAATATTTTGTTTCTTAAGCTGGAAGGGAAGTATTAAAGGTGTTTGCTTATTATTCTTGATGCCTTTTTGTATATATACAGTACATTGCCTCTTATCTTTGGATGTGTGACTTGAGTAAGAAATCCCTGAGTCCATAATGACATAGACAAAAGAAGAGAGGGGAAGGGGGTCCTGAGAGGTAGCCATGGAGTATTTTTGATATGGAATCCTTGATCCAGAGACTGTGGGATGGGAGAAAGATCCCGGGTGTGCTCTCACCTTCCTTTACGGCTTCCTCATCAAGTGACTTGAGGACTTCTCTCCTCTTTTCCTGGTTACCTGCCAGGGCAAAGGCATAGGCCAACAGTGCCTTGGTGTAGACGTGGCTGCCTCGGGATCCTTCCTTGGCTGACTTCCAGGCTGACTCCAGGCAGAACAGGGCATTGCGCACGACAGGGTGCTGGGAAGGCAGAGCGAGAAGGGAGCGAGCTGTGTGAATAGGGGGGCTAGTGCTCCCGGGTAAACACAGACCACAGCACAGAGGTCAGGAAGTTGTTGGAAAGCATTTGTCTTTCTAGCCTCATTCTTACGGATAGAGAGAATAGTATTTTTTTTTAATCTGTTAGTCTCACATTCATAAGGCAGGAATATAGGCCATATCTTTAGAATTCATTCTGCATGTGTGGTGATGGTGGTAGTGGGGTTGCTAGGGGAAAAATAGACTAGGGTCGTCACTGGGGAAGTGTAAATCTTTCTTAATGGACTGACTAAATTCTCTATTGATCTGGGAAGCATTGACATTGCATAGAAGGAATGCTGACAACTGGTTTTTAGTGGGGTGTTGTTTCAGACATCAGGTCAGCAGTTTCATTGCATCTAGAACGAGGCTTCAGCAAGG